CTCACCGTGCTTCGACTATTTACAATCCAAAAACGAGATCTAACTGCAGCTAAGGTACCGGTTAATCCTGCGTGCATCTGCCTTTCGTGCTCGTGTATCACTATCATTCGCGTTAATGTATGATTATTTGGTAGTAACATAGGATGCTTGCTTTCGTAACGTAATTTAGAGTTTCTTAAACGACCCCCTACGCGTAGTACACGGTGTTCATCCAGGAATGGATTTAACGACGCAATTTTACTGCTAGCTCGCACCGCTCCCTTGCGGTTCAAATCATTGATTTCGGAAGCAAAATAGGTGTTTTGCACTATTTTCACGAGTACGATTAATGCTGCATTTAGTTCCTCGACTGATAACGATTCAATACGTTTTTGTTTCACTTCCCTTTGTGTATTATGGATAAATCGTCTGCAATAAGCTATAACCCGAATTAATTTTATGTATGATGAAAATCGATTAAATAAATTTTCGTCCGGCTTAATTGCAATGCACGTTATCTCGTTTTCCTTCAACTCCGTAACTTCTTTGCTACGCGTATTCTCTGTCGGCCAATGAGCTGATTCAAGCCCCAACCACGACGGTCCATACCACCATAATTGCGCTGTAGCTAACTTATTCAGACTCATACCTCGTGACACAATATCTGCGGGATTCTCACTACTTATAACATGGAACCAGCGTTTATCGCTTGTGAGTCGCTGTATTTCTGCGACTCTGTTGGATACAAATGTTTTTAACCGACTGGACTCTGTAGCTACCCATGCCAATACTATCGTAGAATCGCACCAATAAAAACTATCATGTTTACAATCAGGAATGCGAACCAATGCCTCCGCTACTTGCTGATGTAAGCGCGCTAACAACAACGCACCACACAATTCCAGACGCGGCAAACTTATTGCCTTTACCGGCGCCACTCGTGATTTAGAACATAATAATCGCGTCGTAATGTTACCGAAACTATCCACCGCTCTTACGTATATGCATGCTCCATACGCTATTTCCGACGCGTCACAAAATCCGTGTAATTCAATGGTAATACATTGATGATTCAGAACATGCCGGGGTACTGATATTTTGTTTATGAATTTCATGTCATCGCAGAATCGCCTCCATAGAGTGAGCAAATCTAATGGTAATGACTCGTCCCATCCGATTCCTAACTTCCATATTTTTTGCATAATGACCTTTCCCAACACTATCGTAGGACTAACGAGACCCAGCGGGTCGAATAATTGAGCTATAAACGACAATATTGTTCTCTTGGTGACTTTATTTGATTTACCATCGCCCGTATTTGCTTGATAATTCAAAGTGTCTAATTCCGCGTTCCACGACAAACCGAGCGTTTTAGAGTTAACTTCTTGTGTTAAATGCGTATGATTGTTACCTGGTTCAGATTGTATTGAGTCGATGATCTCTTTACTGTTACTATTCCACTTTCGCAATTGAAAACATCCGCTAAGTAAAATTTTGTTTATATCATGCGCGAGCTCCTTCGCGTGATCGATCGTGTTAGATCCTGAAATCAGATCGTCTACATAAAAGTCCGCCAGAATGACGCGGCTGGCTTCAGGGAACGTGTCTCGATTATCCAATGCTGTTTGTTGTAACGATCGTATTGCCTCAAACGAAGCTGGTGCCGTACCGTACGTTAATGTGTTCAATTGATAGTGCTTTATAGGTTTGTCCTCATCAGAGCGCCAAACAATGCGTTGTAAGTTTCGATGGGGTTTATGAACATTGACTTGCCTATACATCTTTGTAACATCCGACGTAAAGACATACTCATGTATTCTAAATCTGATAAGTATTGCGAATAAGCTATCTTGAATGATTGGACCAACCATCAAAGCATCATTCAACGACACGCTAGATGATGTTTTCGCGGATGCGTCGAAAACGACTCGTACTTTGGTCGTTGAGCTCGATTCCTTCGCTACGCTGTGATGCGGCAAGTAGTAAACTGGATGCCACTCCTCTCCGTTAGGCTCGACTTCGGTCATATGCCCGAGCTCCTGATATTCATTCATAAATTCCACGTATTGCTGTTTAAGACTGAGATCCTTGGAGAATCTCCTTTCTAATGTGTGTAATCGTTTGGTTGCCATTTCTAGCGAGTCTCCTAACTCATTGATGTTTGAACGCAGAGGCAGTTGTACAGTGAATCGACCCTGTGTATCTCGCTCTACCGTTCTGACAAATAAATCCTCACATGCTGCTTCTTCCTTTGTAAATTTGGGTGTTGAAAGACATTCTTCGATTTCCCAAAACCGTTCTAATTTATCATGAATTTCTTGTATGGTATTGAC